TGTTGACCTCCAAAAATGGCTCCAACAGGCACCCTACCTTCATCCCCTCGAAACCTGCGTATGTATCACCCCGTCAAGAGGCAAAGGCGGCCGGACGAGAAAAAGGTCCGGCTACCGTTTGCACTCCGACGGTCAAGTCAACGGCCAGACGAAAATAGGTATATAGAGTGCAATAGTAGAGAGATGGGGGATTTGGCTAGAGTATTTAGAACATACCTTAACTTGTGAATTGAATCCATATATATAGAGAAATAATGTGAAATGGGCTAAGGCGGGTTAATGGGCCTAAGTTCGAGCCCAGTATGAGGTGAGCAAAGTGACAGGCACTTCGGCTGGGCTTTTTATGGCCTCGGTGGCGCCTCGACTAGGCTTCTTAGAGCCTCGGCTTTGAGGCCCAACACTAATGGGCCTAGCTCGAGTCCAATAAGGGTGGCCCAATATGGAGTGATAATTCATAGGCGTAACAAACCTAATTTACCAAAAAAAAATGATATAGATTAAAACCTGAGGCCCCTCTAATGTTGGGCCTGAGACGAGGGCCTCACTCCCCTCTATACAAAATCGAAAATGTTCCACCTTCTTAATTCTAGCGAAAGACTCTTGCAAGTATGCTAGATAGTTGGCCTTTTCAATTTAGAGTTTATGTTAAGTTATGCAGAAGTTGCAATTATTATGGTGTATACATTGGATTCTACATTGTCTCCAATTCCATTGTTGAGTAATTACAACAACATGGTGCCACATGACTAGAAAATTTTTGAATGGAAACAAACAACAAAAAGTGGTTACATAGTACAATGGTTTGTTAATAGTTCATGAAACTCGTTGACCTTCTTTTTTGCACGTATGAGGTGGCCTACAAATCTTGGGGCCTTTCTTGTCCCCGTAAACCTTTGTTCATGTACACTTGGACAAATACTAAGTCGCAGGAGGCATTCTTCGAGGTGGGAAAATGCAACTTCATGCACTCCAACGGTCAAGTCAATTCAATATATGGGTGAATAGGTGTAAGACGTGAGCCACTAAGTAATCAAGTCGGATTTCAAAGGATATCAAGTGCAATGAATAGAGCGCAAGTTTATAGTTTTATGTGTAAAGTTGCATTACCTTCAAATGATAAAATTTATGAGCTTTTACAATGGTGGATGAGAAATGATAATTGTTGGATGAAGTGACACAAGGTTAATGCATTTAATGATTCTTAAAGGTAGTCATCCTAGTACATGGTTTGACCTTCGAATTGTAGACTGATCATTTGACTTGAAGTGCTATTGAGTGTGTTGTCATCAATCAATCACAGTGGATCTTGCATGAAAGGTATTCTAAGACTGTGAATTGGAAGATGCCTTTACAAGTGTGGAGGCTAAGAGCTTCGCACTTCTTTTCTGCAGCATACATGACACTTCAACTCAGCTACGGAGGGTCAACTTAGACATGACTCCTCATAAGCATAGCCTAGACTACCTTGTATGGCTTTACTTCAGCTAGGTGAGAAATGACATAGAGTGCGGGCATCATTGATTTGCTCAACTAACTACCACGTTGGTGATAATTTAGAGTTTCTCATAAGAGGCGTAACAATAGTCTCCCAAGTCGGCCTAGACATGACAACTAATATGCATCACCTAGTTGCTTTTTGTCAATGTGATGCATTGGCTTGGGGGTGTTTTTCCATTTTTTGGTTGGTTACATGGTGAGATGCCACAATAATAATCCCTCAAGTCCAAGCATGGGTATTCATATAATGCGTGGAGTTTGAATTACAAAGGTGATGTATGGATACTTTTGTGGCAACTCTCGAATTGCAGATGTGAGGTCGTCATTAGAGGATGAGGCTCTAAGCTGTTGGGCTTTGAGAAAAG